TGCCACTTCTGGGGCGTCCCGACCGAGGTTGTCTTCGAGGCTCGTGTCTCCTTTTGCGAAGCGGGCGATGCGAGCCAGACGTGGATAGCCTTGACAATAGTTGTGTCCTTCCTAAAGCACTATTGATGTCGTTAATAGCTGCCGTCACTCCAGTGCCGCAGCACCGCTCAAAGAAACAATGACTCGAAGTTGTTCCAGAAACTGACATTGTCAATAAATCCAGAGAAAACCGGGTGCCTTGATGTACCTTATGCGGAGATTTCTTAGAATGTTCTACAAGCATAGCAGTTATGCCATTTTGGTGCATCAAGAAGCAAAAGGTGTAGGCTGTTCAAAAAAACACGACAGGACCTTCTTGCCTGCCCTAATATATATGATTCGCCGACATATGGGTGTAGTGTCTAAAAGGATGCGGGAGCGACGACTCCTGTGATCTGGCCGCGTCTCGCGCGCCGCGGCTTACGCCAACGCTGCCCCTGCGTATCTGCTTTAATCAGACGCAGCGCAGAAGAAGGCCTACACAGCACACTGGCAAGGAATCAGCAAGGACACGATCCGTGGTAGGTACAGAGAGGAGACACTGCACCGCGCAAAACATTGATCAATGATCCGGAAAGTAGATGCCGCATCAGCTGGACAACATCAAGAAGAAGATATACTTTTCTGATACCAAGGACTACATCTGTTTGCACGTTCAAGCGACAAGTGGAAGTTTCACCTTTCCACAGCGCTTGCATGTGAGCAGCGCTGCGCAACACGAAGGCAAAATCATTAGACACCGACCGAACCCCTTTTCCATTCACTGTGATAACAGATTTGTTCGGTAATAGAAGCATACTCACCTTTTACATGAAGTTTTACTGTGTCATCGCAGTTTGTTTTTCGAACGGCTCGAAAAATTCCACGACAACTTTCTTACATAGAAATGTTTGGACAACAGGTTGTTGTAATTCCCAAGAGTGGGATTCTGACGCTGTTTCTTATTTCGAAATCAACTAAAACAACTATGACGGACGTCATTATTGTTTATAACTTCGAAAACATGTTTCCAAGAGGATTTTATAACGGAGATTCTTCAAACCAGGGATTTGTAGAGAGGGAATGCCACCCTGTCTTTAAAAAAGCGAACTAGTGCTTCGCAATTTTGCTTTGTTTCCCATAACTACTCCAAAACGAAGGAAGCTGCATTCGGTTAATGAGAGATCGCTTTTCGCCCATATCGCAATATTCCGCGAGGCATGTTTTCGTGGCTACGGTAGGTAGCCCCGAGACGCGAGTTCGACGATTCTCAGATTCCCTTCGTTACTACTTAAAAACTTACAGTCACAAGCACTACTGCTTATTACACAGAGTTACTGTAACTTCATGTGATTTCGCTGTGGTTTCACTTTCATCTCACAACGATTACATTAGACGGCCGTAAATCGTGTGACGGGTGAGTAAATGTTGAAGAGGGAGGGGAGATCCACGTAGTTCTACATCACTTCGCCACTAACTGCTCCATAGCTTCTTAATCAATTCTAAAATGCCTTTGATAAGAACGAACTGCGCAGCAATCCGAATAAGTCCGGGCGTTGGTTATAGGATGCAGGTAAAAGCATGGGTAAAATATCGTTATCTGCGGTAACAATATCGTTTGTTCAACCCCCTTGTATCTACTATTGGTTGTAAATATTGGAGTTAAGTTCGCAAACAACTTGCAGACAAGTCCCGCGGGTAATAACCGCGGGACTTGTCTGCAAGTTCGGGAACTTACCACAGAACGTGGAATAGAGACCTAGCTAAGTCGATAAGGACTGGAATGTTGCTCACAGCTATGGGAGCCAAAGTCGCTTTCTTCGTCTCACGAGCGACTTGAAGCAGGCAATCCCCCCAATCTATCGAAAACTTTCACCCGGGTGCCTCATGGCCAGCGAACGTTTTTGTTGCATCCGAATGTTATATCCGTATTGAGGGAGTATCGTGTTCAAAGTCTCTTAGGGGCGAAGTTGCA